TTGGTTTACATTGTGCGCTTTAAAGTAAACTTGAGTTGTTAGTTCCACGCGAGGGTTAAACCTTGAAAAATGCAAGCACGCGAGCGAAGCTGACGTTAATGCGTGTCCCTATCTGGAAAACATTCGTATTGTGACAAGAAGGGTCTGCTTTAAGGTTTTGGGTTACTCTCGCCATGCAATTTGGACGCCGAAAAGTGCCAAAAAAGTATTTACTGAAAATTCATCCGCAACACCTCGATCGTTCTGTGGGCGCGAAGTCAGTTCTTCTCTTACAGTTAATAATTGCCAGGCGAATCTCAGATCCGCCTCAGCCTAATTTGCATAAATTCTTTTGGTGAGCAAAGCTCGTCAAGCAGACACAGTGGGGTAAGTTTGGTTCATTATATCTCTTAAACAGTCACGGTGACTTTTCTTTTAAATCGTAATTTTCGAAACAGACATTGGTAGGCAATATCTAGGGAAAGTTTAAAAAAAAATGATATATTTTTTTTTTGAGGAATCACTTTAACAATCATTTACCAAAGTGGAGGTGGGTAGTCAGCTGATAAGTTAGTAAACAAACCTTTTCAAGCGGCTGGTCAGCTGCTAATGTCCACGGCAGAGATACCGTCCGAAAAAGTAATGTTTGGCGAAGAAGCAAAGCGCGATTCTATTGGTTACTTAACTTTACGTGGTATAGAGTTACCGCACAATTATCACGCAATAATCCCCGTTTATGGGTTATCGCATGATTTCGAGTGCAATTTGGTGTTAATAAGCAGGAGTAAAAACAACAAAATTGCATGAGCCCTTAAGGCTCGTGCAATATATAATCATTGAAAACTTTACAAGTGCTTATTACACCAAACTGCAAGAGAAATCATGTTACTACTTGTAGATAATATACATAAAAAAAACATTTAGGAAAGTCAAGGCAGACGAAGTTTTGAGAGTGTGCGCGTGCTGTTTGTAATTTGCACTCGTGTTAAAACTTTGCGGTGGTGTTACAAGAGAATGCACTCGTTTTCAGCCAATAAGCAGGGTGTTATTCATGTACCTTACTAAAATGGAAGCATCACGTGCAAAAACGGTTTTACGGGAAGCACAACACTTGGCGGGAGAAACTTTCTCCTTTGTCATAATACCTCAATTCTCCATTGAAAAACAACATGAAAACACTCCAATATCTTATCTTCCATTTTCATTTATTCTATTTTAATATTATACATAAAAAGTAGTAAGTTTCTTACAATACAGCGCAGATAAAACACAACATCAACACTATCTTCATACAGATAATCACTTACTTTTTCCCATAACATTAATTTATATAATCACTTTATTGGATAAACATTCTGGAAACTTGGTCTCGTTAAACAAAGGTAATGCCTAATATCCTTACCGAATATTAATTTAGTGTTCGTTGATTAATTTTCAAAAGTTATCAGTCAACTCTAAAAAAAACATGTTTTTTGTCAGGTTTGTTATCATAAATTGCTTATTCATTCAAGACATTTCATATCACAACAAAATCCGAGGAAGTCGGTCATGTGTAGTACTTGATTACACTGATACACGCCTTGACCGTTAGGCAGGCAGTCAACCACGTAATAACAAACATGTCTATCGAATTTGCACTCCAGTTTATGATTATCATGCGTGCCAGAATATAATTCTTCGGTAATCGCCTTATTCAGACAGTTCGCCATGTTAATTATACTTTGACCACTACATGTTGCAAAATTTTTAAATGTATACGGGGTCGGACCAGGTCCCTCCTTCTAAAACGGCCATGACCTTAAGGCAAAGAAACAAATCTATTACCAAAAATGATACTTCTAACACCATCCCTTTCTTCTAACACCATCCCTTTCTTGGACACCAGTTGTTCATAATGTTTCCATAATTCTTTTTTTGGAATTTTTTTTTTCCTTCAAAGGTTTGTCCTACTGAGCTAATATGAAAATCGTTGACACACAGTAGTAAAAAAAGAGAAAACTAGAGAAAAAAAGTAAATAGTATTTCATACAATATTGTCGAATTACATTTGTAGCACGTCAAATTATAAAAGTCTAGGGACAAATTAAGTTAAAACGCCTGTATATGACATACATATCATCAATTACGGGCGGTCGATTTAGTTGACAAATCTTCTTTCAATATTAAACCCACCTCTACTAAACGAGCTCACACTAAAATCCAACGACGTTTGTTCAATGGTATAGATTGGAAAACTGCCACAGAAATCCAGAAACTTCTGAGGCAAAGCTGATCGCTGCGCAAAACCCTCCACTCTCCAAGCCCTTTTCTTGGTTGTCACATGACGGGGTAAGCGGGGCTGCATCGAGGCCTGTACATGAGGAATGAGAAACATGGAACCGAGACAATAATAGGCTAACAATTTAAAAAATGCTCCAAAGTATTAATTACCTAGACACGCGTTAGCTCATGTATTATGTAGAGCGGCCGTCGGTTAAAAGCCAGTTGGCAGTTCTATTAACAGCATGCAATGAAATTTGCATATTATTCAAATCTATTATGATTTCGTTAGTTGAAGAAACATGTGTCGCTGTGTTAAAGATTTGAAGTGAACCATATGGGCAGTGGGACAAATTTGCATCGGAGCGGAACCTCCATAACCCACAACTGAGGCTGCCTAAATACGGTACATTCATTGATCTATATATATAGTTGTAAGAAATAAATAAATGTTAGAGTCTCGCATCAACATAATTTGTTTTGTATAACTCTCCTAGCTTCGGTTATTGGACCCTAACTGGAGCTGTCATAACTATTTTCCGACTTTTTGAAATGATTTCTTAAGTGGTCGCTGGAGGTAACTTAAAGGTTATAAGGATTAGTATATTGACTGGACTAAAAACGTGGACTGCGGCTGTGTCACAAAAGGGAAAGAAATAAAGGTCATATGAAAAAGTAAAATCCTCTTCAACAAGTAAAAAGTTCTAAATGCCATAGAAAATTATAATGTCTGATTTATAATCTCTTGACTCTACCTGTTCCATGTTGACCCTCATCTTCCCTGGTTCTGGAAGAGATGAATCCAGCTTAGATACATAGCAAGCACGTGCTGACGGCACTCGGTAAACAGACAAACCCTGAGGAAAGATGTATTTATATCTCTTTTAGTTTGTTCATTCTAACATTAGTGCAAATGCTGAACCGCCTACACAGCTTGGTATTGTTTACATAAACTCGACCTTCCATCGATCGCAGTGGTGTTTTGCATGTCACACGCGCCGTCTTTCTTTAGACAGTTGCGAAGGAGACTAGGTAAACTTTGAGATGAAATTATTCTGCTTGTCTGGCTTTTATTACGAATGTGTGTGCTGCAATCAATCTACTTCCCTGAAAGGCGAGTAGAATTAGGCTTGCATACAAATATCCGGATATGCCGGAAGATCTCACGTAAGTCTCTGTGCATAACTGTCAACAAATTGCTGACATTTGACGACAATGATTTATGGTTTACGGGTCCAATTTTGTTAATATTTGTTTGAAGTAACCTGATTACAAGTATTGAAAAAAGTAAAGAAATTGACTTAATGTAGTGCTGTAATTTACACTTTCTCCCTAAAATTTAAAAACCCTACCTCTCTAAAGTCATTCATCATTTCCATGGCGTCCACATCGTTGTGCTGAGGAACACGTAACACTTCGGTTTGATTGTCGACATCCACTTCTACTTCTTCGGTAAACGCTGCTCCATTTTCGGAAACACGGTAGGAATAGCTCCCAGTCTGTCACGTTGAAATAGCAAATGATAATAATAATGAAAAGTAACCTTCATAAATTCAATGAACTCGATCGGTTCAAATAGCTCAGATATATGCTGGTCAAGAGAATAGTAAAATAATTAATCAAAACTCACAATGCAGTTTACTTGCACTCCATTCAAGGTGATCAAAAGAATGCTGATCAGAAAGACAATCTGGAAGTCAAACACAACTTTATTGGTTAGGAACAGAAAGGCGCTATTAAGCAAGTTTCCCTGTAGAAGATGCCATGATTTAGAACTATTAGTTATTTCGTCGTTTGTAAAGTTTGTACAAATGTCGCACTTGTAGCACGTAGCAGAAACTATTTGTTATATTCCAAACGGAGAAACAAGCCTGGCTG